ACCATCTTGGCTTCTGAGAGACACTGACACTCTGAGAAGCTCTTTTTTATACCCAATCACATTGTCAATTGACCTAATTAGTGTTAATTGGTCTTCCAGCTGTTCGTTATATGCACAATTTCCTTTTTCCAGCCACTTATTGCTACTTGTCCCAACTTTTTTGGGATTTGTTGACACTGTGAAATTTTGAATCAGCATATTTTTCCTTTAAAATGTTGCATTTACTCAGATTAAACTTTTGATCTGTCATCTACAGTGAGGAAAATAAGTATTTGAACACCCTGCAACTTTGCACGTTCTCCCACTTTGAAATCATGGAGGGGTCTGAATCTTTCATCTTAGGTGCATGTCCACTGTGAGAGACATAATCTAAAAAAAAAAACCCCCAGAAATCACAATGTATGATTTTTTTAATAATTTATTTGTGTGTTACTGCTGCAAATAAGTATTTGAACACCTGTGAAAATCAATGTTAATATTTGGTACAGTAGCCTTTGTTTGCAGTTACAGAGGTCAAAGGTTTCCTGTAGTTGTTCACCAGGTCTGCACACACACTGCAGCAGAGATTTTGGCCCATTCCTCCACACACATCTTCTCTAGATCAACCAGGTTTCTGGGCTGTCACTGAGAAACACGGAGTTTGAGCTCCCTCCAAAGATTTTCTATAGGGTTTAGGTCTGGAGACTGGCTAGGCCACTCCAGAACCTTGATATGCTTCTTACGGAGCCACTCCTTGGTTCTCCTGGCTGTGTGCTTCGGGTTATTGTCATGTTGGAAGACCCAGCCACGACCCATCTTCAATGCTCTCACTGAGGGGAGGAGGTTGTTCCCCAAAATCTCTCACTACATGGCCCCGGTCATCCTCTCCTTAATACAGTGCAGTTGTCCTGTCCCATGTGCAGAAAAACACCCGCAAAGCATGATGCATCCACCCCATGCTTCACAGTAGGGATGGTGTATTTGGGATGGTATTCATCATTCTTCGTCCTCCAAACACGGTGAGTGGAATTAAGACCAAAAAGTTATATTTTGGTCTCATGTGACCACAGAACTTTCTCCCATGACTCCTCTGGATCATCCAAATGGTCATGGGCAAACTTAAGACGGGCCTGGACGTGTGCTGATTTAACCAGGGGAACCTTCCGTGCCATGCATGATTTTAAACTATGACGTCTTAGTGTATTACCCACAGTAACCATGGAAACAGTGGTGCCAGCTCTCTTCAGGTCATTGACCAGCTCCTCTCGTGTAGTTCTGGGCTGATTCCTCACCTTTCTTAGGATCATCGATACGCCACGAGGTGAGATCTTGCATGGAGCCCCAGTCCGAGTGAGATTGACAGTCATGTTTAGCTTCTTCCATTTTCTAATAATTGCTCCAACAGTTGATCTTTTTTCACCAAGCTGCTTGGCAATTGCCTCGTAGCCCTTTCCAGCCTTGTGGAGGTCTACAATTTTGTCTCTGGTGTCTTTGGACAGCTCTTTGGTCTTAGCCATGTTAGTAGTTGGAGTCTTACTGATTGTGTTGGGTGGACCGGTGTCTTTATGCAGCTACCGACCTCAAACAGGTGCTTCTAATTTAGAATAATAAGTGGAGTGGAGGTGGACGTTATAGAGGAGGACTAACAGGTCTTTGAGGGCCAGAACTGTTGCTGATTGGCAGGTGTTCAAATACTTATTTGCAGCAGTAACACACAAATAAATTATTAAAAAATCATACACTGTGATTTCCGAATTTTTCTTTTAGATTATGTCTCTCACAGTGGACATGCACCTAAAATGAAAATTTCAGACCCCTCCATGATTTCTAAGTGGGAGAACTTGCAAAGTCGCAGGGTGTTCAAATACTTATTTTCCTCACTGTATGTTATATTACGAATAAAATATTGACATTTGCAATCTCCACATCATTGCATTCAGTTTTTATTCACAATTTGTTTAGTGTCCCAACTTTTTTGGAATCCGGTTTGTACTTAAATTCATCTTTAGCCATCGGATTATATTTTGAATGCCCCAAACACAGGTGATGTCTGATTGGCCTCAATGAGAATTTACAACATTTCCACTTAGGCCACCTTCAGAGGTGGTGATATAGTATACATAGTATATATAATATATATAGTATAGAGAAACTTTACTTGTTCAAAATAGGCTTTCAGAAACGTAACTGTTAAGTTTTATTTTTTCAACTTCATCAAAGGTGTTGACCTTTGACCTTTCTTCACACTTGTGAAGAAAGTGCTGCTTTTAGACCTGACTTCTGCTTAAAGCAACAGGCTAAAAGCTGCTGATGTGAACAGAACCAACCACAGCAGAGGAGATCACACAAAAGCTTCATGCTGACACTCACTTGGGCGGGGCGGGCAGGATCGTGTGGTAGTTATAGTGCTGCTGCTGCTGACTGAGGATCTGCAGCTGCAAGAAGAGCTGCTGCTGATGGAGCAGCTTGGCGTAGGATGAATCCATCTGAGGCGGTCGCTCCTTGTCGGCCTTCTGGTCTGGAGGGATGTATTGATGGTACTTGAGCTTTTTCACCTTCACCAAAACAAGAACAAATAAATCACAACTTTACATAATTAAAACATCCAAACCAGCCTGTCAGCCTGCACACTGTATGTTGATTATAAGGCATACTTTTAAAACTTCACAAAAACTTTGAAAGCTGGAGAAAGCAGCATCTCTTCCTTTTTTAAACCATGATCTGTGTGTGTGTTTAATGTCAAAACTAAAAAGAAGCAACAATTCACCATTTTTAAAGGAACAGACTCTAAAACTATCAGAAGAGATTCTGAAAATTCAACTTTCAATATTTCTCAGTCTGTTTGAGGAACACAAAGAAAAAGGTTCAAGACCAATCAGGAAACACCGCCTTAACTCTATCATGTTTCATGTCAACGAGTTGTTGACGACCGGCTGTCTTTTTTATCATTTACAGACATGTTCTGCACCCTATCAGAGCTGTAAATGCTCAATAAAAAACTGACCTTGGGCTTGTTGTCCTTTAGTTTCTTAGGTCTCTGTGGGGGGCGGTCTGAACTCGTCTTAGACTGAGACTGCATGAGAAACGAGATGGAGCAGGAGTGGGAGTAAAGAAATTAAGAAATGAGCAAAAGTGAGACTCCAATAAAGATTAGTCCAGAAATTTGTACCATGTTGCACTAGAAGTGGCCAGAGGTCAGCTGTCTGAAAGGCCAGCATACCTTGATGTGTCCGGAGGAGGGGCGGGGGGAAGCAGAGGCCAGAGATGTCCCACTGGGTATTTTTGGGAGGGAAGAGGATTCAGACAAGTTCACCAGAGGAGGTGGTGGAGGAGGACGAGGAGGAGGGAGCTGTGTAAGAAACTGACATGAAGATATGAGAATGTGTTATGTTCACAATCAGTTTCCAGTTTGTTTTATTCATTTAATCTGATAGTTCCCAACCCTGGTCCTTGTGGAACACCATCCTGCATGTTCTGGTTGTTTCCCTGCTTTGACACATCAGATTTAAATGGATGGATGATTAACAGGCAGAATATGAGGAAATAATTAAATCACTGAATCAGGTTTGTTGGAGCAAGAACACAACTAAAACAAGCAGGATGGTGTTCCTCAAGGACATGTGTTGGGAACCATAGAGAGCAAATAAACGTCATTTGACTGACATTTTTTTCAACACAGATATTACATGAGCAGCATGCTCCTACCACCCCCTAGAGTTGCGATTTATGGCCCGAGTCAGACTTGAACCTGACCCAAAATTCAAGCTGGGTCGGGCTTCTGTGGTGCGGTTTGATAAATCATACAGCATAAATAAAACTAAGATGAGAATGCACAATATAAAATTGTGTTAATCTATTTGTAGAGGAGGAGGCAGAAAGTTTATATGTTGAGGATGAGGAAAGACAGAAGAGCGCAGCAGGTAATCAGACTGTGAAGAGAGGGGGTAGCCTCCGCTGGTGCATTGCACAACTGGCAATGTGGCCAGTGGCCCCGCCCACCCTGCTTTGCAGCAGCAGCGAATTAGTTTTTAGCACAGCTGGCCGCACAGTAGACCAGCGGAGTCCTCCTCTGCTGGTCTACTGTGTAAATATCCATTTGGTGACTTGATAATAAACAAGAAATCTTATATCTTCCTTTCTTTGAAATATGTTTTTTAAAACTATCATGTCAAACTGACTTGCTTACAAAAGCAGTAAAAGATTAATCAAAATAACATGTCAGGTTTGCTTCGAGTTGGGGCCTCTAATTACAGTTAATTAGTCGGGTCGGGCTCGGACACAATGCCTATGGGCTTGGGTCGGGTCAGATTTTTTAGGCCCAAATGCAACTCTACCACCCCCCCACCCCCAATGGCCACACATTTATTTTTTTACTTTGCCAGGCTGAAATTCTTACTATAAAATGATTATTTCATTCAAAGAGCTTAAATTTACAGGATTTTAGCTCATGTAGTCATTTAATACTGTTTATTTTCATAGTTGATCATTTATTAAATTGCATTAATCACAGTGCAGTTAGCTTTCAGTATGATTCTGAATATAAGCAAGCTTAGCACAGCAAAGCAACCATCCGGGCACTAGCGATCGGTCGTTAGTCGGATGGTCCATCATGTGAACAGCCAGTTCTGGATGTCAACAACAAACTGGTTGATCAATCATGAGAAGGTGCTATTTATAAGACTGAGTTTGTTACAGCTCCTCAGACTGAAGAAGACATGACTTAACTTTGTTAGATTACAACACAACTTTTTGGTGGGAAAGGTGAAACACCTACACCTGCCTCCACCCTCATTTACCCCACTCTGAGCCCTTGAGCAAGACTCTTAACCACAGCCCTCTGCCCCACACGTGTGCTGTGGTAGCTCGGAGATTGTGTCAGGGAGGACATTCAGTGTAACATTAATTTCCAAGTCTTCATGAGAGTACACTCTGTGGTGACTGCTGAGAAAGAAGAATGAGAAGAAAAACAAGTTGAATCTGACAGAGAGGAAGTACCTGCGTGGGGGAGATGTCTCCGTTGTGGGTGAGCCCATCGGAGGGGGAAAGGTGAGCAACGGCATTCAGGGGGGAGTCATGATTGGTCAGCTGTTCAGGTGACAGAGCATCGCTGCTGTCCTCATCCAGAGATGAGCTCTCCCCCCCAGCTCCTTTTGGGGAGTCTGGAACAGAGAAGAACCATTTACAGGACCTCAGTGTTTACTGTTTATACATTATACTGTAAAATTACTTTGACATACTTCAATTATTTTAACCATTCATGTAGAAATGTTTTGTTCATTAAGGACGTCACAGCTACGGTTTTGTTTTATTGGTTTTATGATATTTAATTATTGTGTGAACACTTATGAAGCATTCACACTATAGTGATCTATTTTTCTTCCGTACATTTTTCAGCATCTTTGTCGTTCCACAGTTTTTATCTATTTCAACAAATCATGAATCAAAACGTTCAGCTCTTTCAGGACAATCCTGCTCTGACTTTTGGTATTGGTGCAACTTTAGCTTTTTGAAATATTTAACCTTTTCTGACATATTTTCCTCATAGAAAATGAACTGAGGTCATTTTACCTCCTTCAGATCTTTAGATCGGTTTACAGCCTTTTACTGCTCCTTTCACGTTTTGTTCTGCTTCAGCTTCTTTCAGCTTCCTTCTACAAATTAAAAATAATAATTCAGCTATTTTCAGCTGTTTTGTGCTCCTTTCAGAATCTTTCTGCTAAGTAAAACACGTTTGAGCTTCTAACTTCTTTCTGCTAATTTAAACTTTTTCTGTTATTTCAGCTATTTAGCAGTGTTATGCTAATTTAAGCCTTTTCAGCTAATTCCACTTTTTTTTTGCACTCATTTCAACTCTTTTCAGCCCAATTCATCAAAAATGTGCTTGCTCCAGTTCTGTCTGATGATTTAAGCTTCTTTCTGCTTTTGAAGCTACTTTTTAACTGTTTTTTTTTAGCTAATTTCAGCTTGCTCTGCCTTTTCAGCTACCTTTTTAGCATTTTTTTGCTAATTTCAGCCGTTTTCAGATAAATTCAAGTTTTTCATTATAATTTCTGCTACTTTTAGCCTAATTAAATTATTTCTGCTTATTTCAGCTTGTTATGCTCCTTCCAGCTTATTTCTGCTAGTTTCAGCTACTTTGCTAATTCAACTACTATTTAGCTGTTTTATGCAAAATTTAGCTTTTTCAACCAATTCTACATTCTTGAAGCTCATTTCAGCTCCTTTTGCTTCCTTCTGGTAGTGCCTCTTTCAGCCTTTTCAGCTATTTTTTTTTGCTAATTTCCTAATGTTTGTGCTTATTTTTGCTTATTTAAACCTAATTCAGCAAATATGTGTTCTTTCTGCTTTCTTCTGCTAAGTTAGGCTTGTTCTTCCATTTCAGCTACATTTTAGCATGTTTTTAGCTCGTTTCAGCTGTTTGTCAGCAAGTTCTTCTGCAACAAGCATTCACACTACATTTTCACAGGAAATTCAATTTCTCTAGTTAACAATTACTTACAAGTTCATCTTGAAATGAGTGGAAGACTTTAAATTTTGAAAAACTTTAAAATCTACTTCAGCACACTTGCATCATTTTTAGCTTTTTGTTGCAGGTTTAGTTTTTTAGTAGTAGCCATTGTTTTGCTAATCTGAGCTTTTGTTCTGATCATTTTAACTTTAATAATCCAGTGTCACATTTATCACAGGAGTCAGCTTTTTAGCATTATGTAGCATTTCCCTCCGAAATGCAAACTTCTGTAGTTCAGCTTCTAATGTGAAAATATTGAGACGTCCAACAGCTGAACTCCTTCCTTCCTCACAACAAACTGTCAGTGTTTGTTTAGTAATCAGGATGAGTAGCTATAGAGAAGTTAGATAATCTCAACTTGCAACACCTGATCATGTCCAAAGGAAGATTCAGTGCAACTCTGCAACATCTGTGTGGTTTGTTGTTCTCTCATCCAGTGGCACCATGGGTTATTTTCAGGACCACAACAGTAATCCTGGGTGTGTCTGCACTCAGCTGTGAGCAAACACCTAGATGCTGCGATTGCTCAGGTGACGTGCACTTGAACTGAATGTACACAACATTTCAGGAGTGGTGTGAGAGCACAGGAAGTTGTTACAGAAACGTGTTTTAACTTGAGTAGATTGTGTGGAAATGATGGGGCTGGTTTGTTCTGTGCATCCTAATCTGTCCAGGACCCACTGAAGCCAGAGCCTGAGCTCCTCAGTGTTCTCTAACAACAGATGTACCGTACTGTCTGGTGTCCGCTCTATAAGCTCATACTTGTTTCACAGGTTTATACAATGCTGCGGCTAATTAATGGATTTTTGTTTGTTGACGAGTTATCGAGCTCCCTGCCACCAAAAACATTTAGCCTTATCTTACCCGGGCACTCATATAGCTGCTTAATACACCTCTCTCATGGGGTGTGGGTCCTTGTGGCTCACAGAGACAGAGTGGGGGGGGGGAGATCCCCCTCCTGTTCGCTCCTCCCCTCCCCGTTTCATTGGCTCAACTGTGACCTGTTCTGTAATTTCATTGGTCAGATTTTTTAAACCTTTATTTATACAGGTACTCATCACTACGTCTCCTTGGGGGGGGGGGGGTGTGTTCGTGACTCAGTGAGACTACCTCATTGGTTCATTGTGGTTGACTGCTGGTCACATGGCCTCAGAGAGGGATAATGGGTAAAATTTATGCTCATTGTTAATCATTTCAGTTAGCTGTTTAGCATTGATCTTTTAGTGATTAGTCTGTTCTTCTTAGATCATGTATTAGTTTGTGTTAGACCAGTCAGTAGAGTAACCATGAGTGAAGGAGGTCGTTACATTGAAGAACTGTGGGGTTCACTCTGTTTGTGTTGAGCAGTAAGATAAAGTCTATAAAACTCCATCTGGTGGTTAATTCTTGATCTACAACAAGAGCTGCACATCTCTCAGTAGCTGTGCTGACACTCATGTTACAACATGAACACCTGCAGCTTATGTGTGTACAATATTCTTCCGGTAAGATGGCGCCTGTGTACATGCCTCCTCTGCTGATGGTGTTTGGATTATTTTTTTGTTCGTTTTTTATCTGGGACAAACTCGTTCCTGGTGTATGACCGACAACAGCTTCTGGATCTTCGTTTTTCTGCCGCCGATGTCGCTTATTCGGATCATTATGAGCATACCACTGGACCCCCCCCTTCCCCCACTGCTGGCGGACGTGCCTCTTTACCTCCGCCGCACTCTCCACCTGCCTGCCCGGAGATAACGTTCCAGACGCCAGGGAAAACGTGCCAGGTGGCTGGTAAAGCTTAAAGCCCTGCGTGCTGCATCTTCCTCTCCAGCTGGTGGTCATGGTTTCCATCGCCAGCTTCCCACATGTCCAGACCAGGTAAACAATGGGAGTTGTCAGCCGGTGCAGCGTACGGGCCGACCCGGAGGGGCTGTTATTGAAAATCTGCGGCCATTGGCGCGCGCGCGCTCTCTCCACTGCTGCTGGGTCCACTTTGGACAGTATCCGGATGTGTTTGGTCAACGCAAGATCTGTTACCAACAAAACTTTTATCCTCAGGGACTACTTTCAAGAGCACGATTTGGACTTTTTCTGCATCACAGAGACTTGGATGTCTCCGGGTGAGTCCAGCGCCTTGACGGAATTATTGCCACCAAAATGTATTTTAACGCACCGCGGCCATCAGGCCGGCGCGGTGGTGGATTATTAACAATATTCAAATCAACTTTAGACTGTAAACAACTGCCCATCCCAGTTTCTCGCGCCAGCTTTGAGATGAGCGTCTTCGAACTCGGCCATTCGCCTTCGACGTTATGCGCACTCGTCTACCGCCCACCTCGGTCTAAGGATTTCATGAATGAGTTTTCTGATTTCTTGGCTGAAATCACACCAAAATATGAGCATGTTTTCATTATTGGGGACCTTAATTTGCATGTGTGCTGTCAGGAGAAACCCTTGGTTAAGGACTTTTTAGATCTATTGGACTCATTTAATCTAATTCAGCATGTAAACGGTCCCACCCAAAAGCGCGGACATACACTGGACCTTGTGTTAACACGTGATGTGACTGTTAGTAATCTTGAAATTGGTGATAATGTTTTTTCAGAACACATGCCAGTCCGGTTGTAGTTCACCCTCCCCCATCTAACTCCTAAGCCGTGCGCTGCTGCATGTAGTAGCCGGGCCATTAACCATTTCACTGCCGCACGTTTCACAAATATTTATAACTCTGAAATGATAATTCAGCCCCTGGTGTTTCTCACCACCGAGGAGCTGACATCCCAGTTCAACTCCGTCTGCTTAAAGACTCTGGATCATGTCGCTCCTGTTAAAACTAAAAAATCAAAACTCAGAGCAGAACCTTGGCTGAAGGATGTCACCAAGGCAGTTAGGCAGGAGTGCAGGAGGGCGGAGCGCAAGTGGAGGAAAGACAGGCTGCAGGTCTCTTTTCAAATACTTGGCGCCGTTATCAGAAAGCAGTAAAAGCTGATAAATCCAAATACTTCTCTGATATAATTACCTCAAACTCTCACAACTCACGTGTCCTCTTCTCCACCCTAAACTCTGTTCTCCACCTCACTGAACCATCACCTATGGAAGCCTCGACTGAGCTATGAGAGAACTTCCTACATTTCTTTTTGGAAAAAATTGTGAGCACCCAGGCTCTCATTTCCCCTCCAACTCATGGCCCATCCATCCCACCTCAATCTGTAGCTCCATTTGACCATTTTGAACCCATCACTTTATCTTCTCTAGAGCAGGTCATGGGCAGTTTGAAACCTTCTGGTTCCCCTTTGATGTGGTCCCCCCTCGACTACTAAAGAAGGCTTTTCCTACTCTAGGTCCGTCCATTCTTGCTATTGTAAATAGAAGTTTATCCACTGGCGTGGTGCCAAAAACCTTTAAACATGCTGCTGTCCAGCCTCTCCTAAAAAAAAAAAAAATCTTGACCCCCTCAGTCGTATCCAACTTCCGGCCTGTCTCCAGACTCCCATTTGTTTCTATACTGCTGGAGAAAATAGTTGAGTCCCAGTTGAAGTGCTTCCTGGAGGGTCACGCTATCTTAGAGCTATTCCAATCTGGCTTTAAACCTCTCCATAGCACTGAAGCTGCCCCGTTGAAGGTTTTTAATGACATTTTCTTAACCACAGATACTAGTGATTCTGTGCTGCTTGTCCTATTGGACCTTACAGCTGCCTTTGACACCATCGACCATGAGATCCTCGTTGCTAGGTTGGAGCAGTGGGTGGGCATCACAGGGTCAGCCCTCAACTGGTTCAGATCTTATCTCGCTGACAGATCCTTGTGTGTCTCCATCAAGGATTTTAGTTCTGCAGCAGCAGAACTTAAATGTGGGGTTCTGCAGGGGTCCATCCTGGGTCCCCTCCTATTCTCTTTGTACCTGCTGCCACTTGGTGCTATTTTCCGGAAACACAACATACCTTTTCACTTCTACACTGATGACTGTCAAATTTACTTCCCCCTAAGACACAATGGTACATGCTCAATTCAACATCTGCTCGACTGCCTGGCTGACATCAGGGACTGGATGGCTTTAAATTTCTTAAGTTTCAATGAAAAGAAGTCTGAAGTCATGTTGTTCCCTCCCAACGACACAATCACAAACCACTGCATCGACCTTTCCACTCTAACCCTGTCAGAAAAACAGAGTCACTAATCTGGGCGTGATAATGGACCCTTCCCTGAAACTTAACAATAACGTAAACATGATTGTTAAATCATGTTTCTTCCAACTGAGGCGGCTGTCTAAACTGAATCCCATATTGTCCAAAAATAACCTGGAGACAGTAATACATGCATTCATTACATTTAGGCTTGATTACTGCAATTCACTCCTGTTTGGTATCAGTCAGACCTCTATTGCACGACTACAACTGGTCCAGAATGCAGCGGCCCAATTATTAACCAGTACAGGCAAAAGAGAGCACATTACAAATTCAAATTCAAATTCAAAAATACTTTATTAATCCCAGAGGGAAATTAAGTGTTGTCATAGATCATCGTCCTGATTCCATTCAAGAGTTGTTAGATGCTGATAGCTGATGGTAGGAAGGACCTCCTGCAGCAAATCCGAAGAATCTGGCCACAGATCCATCCACCTAGATCCAGCTTGCCGTCAGATCCGGCAGGCCTCTTGGTCCAGCAGGACCGCCCGAATGTCGGGCAGAATTCTTCCCTGAGCGATGGTCACTCCTTCCAGCAATCTGCCGAGTTCCTTGTCGCCACGGACAGACAACTGAAGGTGCCGGGGGAAGATCCCTGTCGTCCTGTTGTCACAAGCCAAGTTTCCCACCAGCTCCAGGATCTCGGTGGTCAAGTACTCGAGCACCGCTGCCAGGTTGACGGGAATTAGTCCACAGCGCCTCCTTTCAACTCATTTGGGATTTGGGGCTGTAGTTGAGGTATTTGAGCTTTTGAGATGTTAATCAGCTGCTCCTGATTGTTACAAAAACATCTTGTTGCCATGGTTACGCATCATAACAAATGCCCCAAAGTACAAAGGTTTCAGTAAAAATCCTTCCAGCTGCACATCATCCGACATCACAGTAAATAATCATCTGAAAAAAGCTATTTACATCCAGAAAAAGAGGAATTAAAATCTTCATAAGCAACAACTCATAATGAATGTAACAGAGCTACAGGTCCTTCTCAAAAAATTAGCATATTGTGATAAAGGTCATTATTTTCCATAATGTAATGATAAAAATGAAACTTTCATATATTTCAGATTCATTGCACACCAACTGAAATTTTCAGGTCTTTAATTGTTTTAATACTGATGATTATGGCATACAGCTCATGAAAACCCAAAATGCCTGTCCCAAAAAATTAGCATATTTCATCCCACCAATGAAAGACAAGTGTTTTTAATACAAAAAACGCCAACCTTAAAAGAATCATGTTCAGTTATGCACTCAATACTTGGTCGGGAATCCTTTTGCATGAATGACTGCGTCAATGCGGCATGGCATGGAGGCAATCAGCCTGTGGCACTGCTGAGGTGTTATGGAGGCCCAGGATGCTTCGATAGCGGCCTTAAGCTCATCCAGAGTGTTGGGTCTTGCGTCTCTCAACTTTCTTTTCACAATATCCCACAGGTTCTCTATGGGGTTCAGGTCAGGAGAGTTGGCAGGCCAATTGAGCATAGTAATACCATGGTCAGTAAACCATTTACCAGTGGTTTTGGCACTGTGAACAGGTGCCAGGTCGTGCTGAAAAATGAAATCTTCATCTCCATAAAGCTTTTCAGCAGATGGAAGCATGAAGTGCTCCAAAATCTCCTGATCTCCTGCATTGACCCTGCGTTTGATAAAACACAGTGGACCAACACCAGCAGATGACATGACACCCCAGTGACTGTGGAAACTTGACACTGGACCTCAAGCAATGTGAATTCTGTGTCTCCTCTCTTCCTCCAGACTATGGGACCTTGATTTCCAAAGGAAATGCAAAATTTACTGTAATCAGAGAACATAACTTTGGACCACTCAGCAGCAGTCCCAGGCGAGATGCTTCTGACGCAGTCTCTTGTTCAAAAGTGGCTTGACCTGGGGAATGCGGCACCTGTAGCCCATTTCCTGCACACGCCTGTACACGGTGACTCTGGATGTTTCTACTCCAGACTCAGTCCACTGCTTCCGCAGGTCCCCCAAGGTCTGGAATCGGCCCTTCTCCACAATCCTCCTCAGGGTCCGGTCACCTCTTCTCGTTGTGCAGCGTTTTCTGCCACACTTTTCCCTTCCCACAGACTTCCCACTGAGGTGCCTTGATACAGCACTCTGGGAACAGCCTATTCGTTCAGCAATTTCTTTCTGTGTCTTACCCTCTTGCTTGAGGGTGTCAATGATGGCCTTCTGGACAGCAGTCAGGTTGGCAGTCTTACCCATGATTGCGGTTTTGAGTAATGAACAAGGTTAGAAGTTTTTAAAAGCCTTAGGAATCTTTTGCAGGTGTTTAGAGTTACGTCGTTGATTCAGATGGTTAGGTTAATAGCTTGTTTAGAGAACCTTTTCATGATATGCTAATTTTTTGGGACAGGCATTTTGGGTTTTCATGAGCTGTATGCCATAATCATCAGTATTAAAACAATTAAAGACCTGAAATATTTCAGTTGGTGTGCAATGAATCTGAAATATATGAAAGTTTCATTTTTTATCATTACATTATGGAAAATAATGACCTTTATCACAATATTCTAATTTTTTGAGAAGGACCTGTACTCCAACATGCAGCCACCCTGAGCGGCGCAATTCTAGAACTAATTCTAGAACTAATTCTAGAACTACTCCAGTTTTGGCCTCACTGCACTGGCTACCTGTTCACCTTCGAATCCAGTTCAAAATATTCATGTATGTCTACAAATCGCTAAACAGTTTCGCGCCCCCCCCCCCCCCTTCAATGAGGGTGCGCTCTATAGACTGGCCATTACGGTAGTATTTGTGTTACAGCATATCACTTCCTGTGTCAGCATGTTTGTTCAAATGTTGCACATGTTCTGGACATGGTTTTCAGTTGCTCACATGTTTATGAAAACTTCACGTCTCTAAACTATTCTTCCTGTGTTTGAACAACGGTAAACGTGTTGCATAAAGTGCGTTTCTGTTCATATCGCAAACGGAACAGAGTATATATGTGGTTCTGCCCAGCTCTACTGCAGCAGGTGTTCAGAGTATGTGTATTTATTAGTAGTATATATGTATACTATGATTTAGTATTTCAGAGTGCATGTGTATTTATGTGTATTATGATTTAGTATTTCAGAGTACATGTGTATTTACCCAGAGGTGAGTGCTGCAGAGAGCAGCTGACAGACAGGATGTTCTTGTGGACCAGTTCGATTGGACCTGGTCTGTGAGAGATCTTGTCGTTGAGGTCGTCAGCCAGTCGTGCTCTTTTCAGCTTCAGCTGCTTGGCCTGCAGAGATGGCTCTGCAGACGTCTCTGTGAAGGGCACAGAACAAAATTGCACATGAGCAAAAACAAAACACGACCAGGCTTGAGCATTTGTTCCTGCAGAATGAGGAATGACTGTTGCAGAGAAGCAGTTTAGAATAGTTATAGGAAGTTGGCTTTCTGTCGACTGAAGATATATTTAGTGGTTTACCATTTCATCATTTTAGTCAGTTTAAACACCAAAAGGACAAAAAGAAAACCCTGACTGTCAAAGCAATCTTTTTTTCTGGCAGAACTGTGCAGTGATGGCGCAGCATCAATGAGCGGCAGGTGTTCTCAGGCAGACACCTGACCATGAAGCTAAATGGACACACAGTGAAAGCCTTGCTGCAAATAAATGTCCCCCGACTTGTAAGTGAAGAAACCATCAACCTTGTTGAAGACAATGCTGTCAAGTCCAGATGTTTTGCCAAGCTTGGTGAGAAGACAGAAGCAGATCATCTCCAGACTGGTCCTCAAGTGTTTGAACTGAGGAACGAGGGCTTCTCTGTTCTCACTGAAAAAACAGATCTAATGTTGCACATCACTATGTCTGGATCGGACATGTATGTATGTATGTCATTATCATGTCTTATCATTTATTTGACTAGGTATTTACTTGTTAAACTGTGTGTATTTTTATTTTTATTTATTTTTTGTTATATTTTTAACATGAAAATTAGTCATTCAGGTACACTTCAAGAAGAAAAGTAGGGGGAAAGACAATATGCTTCAGGTAAAAAAGACATTTACTAACATCATAATTTTATTAGGACATACATAGGAAAGATGGTGTCAATCAAAAAATAAACAAACAACAACAGCAGCAAGCCACCCAGAGACACCAAATACTGTAGTCCCTCGCTACTTTCAGGTCCACTTTCAGGTCCACTTTCACGGACTTATGTACAGTCCGTCCATATACAGTATTGGACAATTTTATTTATTTATTTACACATGATTGTGGACTGTATAGTAATATCACTGTACAGAACTCATGAGGATGTGCAAAAGTCAAATAATAATTCGGACAGGTGCTGCAATTTTGTAGTTTTCTTTCATTCAGCCTCCACTGTACTGTAATCACCACTCATAATATATATATATATATATATATATATATATATATATATATATATATATATATAT